TTTGGCTTCATTTTTGCAGTTCTTGGAGAAAAAAAAAATTCGAAAAAATGAGATACTTTCCAAACATCTTGAAGAATTTTATATTTATTTTTTCCTCCTCCCTTTTTTTGTTTTTTTTTCTATGAGGAATTATTAAGCAAAGTAAGAAAGAATAAAAAAAAATGTTTCTAAAATTAGCTAACTTTTAGTAATTTTATTAGCTAGTTAGCACGTAGTTAGATTCATTTGGCTACAAACCAGAGAATATGTATCCAAGAAAAGATCTGTAGCAATCTATTAATTGATGGTTGCTCATCTTCTTTATTTCTGTTGACTGTTTGATCTCGTTTTATTACTTTGTATTATATTAAATTATGTTTATGCTTTTACCGATTTTTCTAAGTTATGATAGAAAGAAATTTATGTTTCTTTCTCTTAATTGTAAGGGAAAACTTTGTATTTTTAATGACATTTTATTACACTTAGCTTTTTTAAGCAGTGATTTTTTTTCTGTTTATGTTTATGTTTATGTAAGAGGAGCATTCGCATTAAAAGAAAAAATGATTTTCTGCTCACGTTTATCATTTTATGCACTTGATTGTAAAAGGCAGATTTACATTTATTCTTGCTGCCTTATATTTTACTTTTTATGATGATTTTCATTACACCATAATTATGTTTATCACCTTTTTGTTTATGACTACAAACAAAAAGGTATAGCATAAAATGATACAAAAAGTGAAAATGTGAATATGTTTTGAGTTACTAGCACTTACAGGGCGAAGATTTAGCTTGGGCCTCAAATAAACCGGGGCCCCTAGCTTGTGTAAATTCCTTAAGACATATCAATAAATTTAATGAAACCGAACAAATTCTTTGTCCCGTCATTTTTTAAGGGTTACACACGTTTAATTAACAGAAAATTAGGAACTTCAATAAGATTATATATCCAAGGATCAGGGCCAGAGTAGCGGGAGAACCATTTGAACTCTGTAATTCTCATCTGTAGGGTCATCCAAGAGTCACGGAAATAAAAGAACGCTGAAAATTTAACCTTTTATTTAGATAAATGACTAAAGAGGCTTCTTATACTGGCAGGCCTGATCATTAACTTGATTTTTGAAGGTTCTATTATGATGTGGTACAGTTTCAGATCAGAAGAGTTACGGAGCAAAATGGTGCTGCAGGCATCCATCCAGATTTCATATTATTTTGAATGAAATAAATTCAATTTTTAAGAGATAATTTACCAAATTTTCCATCTTAGATTTAAAGTTATACCTATGCAACGTCTCTTTGTAGCTTACAACAAAATTTTTATTTTGATTTTGAATTTTTTTTAATGGAATTTTTTGTCGCCAGTTGATATTAATTGTCTACATTTAAAAAAAAAAAAAACAAAAATGACAAAAAATCAATTATGAGTTTTACATTAAAGTATCTGTTTTTATCTGTAGGCGGATTGCGTGGTTGAACCTTTATTAAATATTTAAATTTTCATAGAAAAATTAGGGAGAAAGATAATCTTATAAATGAAAATTAAAATAATATTTCGTTTCGCTTATTTACAATTAAAATTATTCTAAAAATTATTTATACAGGATGCTCTCAATTAGAAAATAATCCACGTAGCAAAAACAGATGTAGCCTAATTAATCAATATTTGGACCTTAATATTAATTAAGAATCAAATTTGACATTCAATATTTGGATATTAATTAACATTATAATATTGTTCTGATTCCTTAGGGGCATATGAAAAATTTTCCAACACCGTTAAATACTCCAAAATAATTTCCCTACACGTCAATGAACATTAAAACTCGCTACAATAATTAAATACACAAATAATTTTATACAACACTACTCATTTAATACAATTCATATAAACCACAACTTACTTACCAACCACATATAAAATATTAAATTACGGCGCACTTTTTCGTGTTATATATTTTTAACCCACCATTAAAACATCTATATTTACCTATAAGAAATTACACAATACATCATATTATATACTACACTCAACCATGTGATAATACAGAAAACTAGTGTTCGAATGCCAAATTATGATGTCATAATAATACGTTTTCTTTAAGTAAAACCGTAAATTTTTAAAATAATATACTGTGTGATAGCTTCGTATGTCTTGGTATCAGCTTACTTTTGACAATAATAGGTCTTACAGCTCTGACCTTTCGAGAGGTATAATACAATCAATCGCAACTACATTTATGTCGTAGGCGTATGGACGTAGGTAGCATCGCACCCACAAACTTAGCTACTAGTACAACAGCAACATCAACACCGAATATTTTACTAGTCTTGTTTTTTTTTCTAAGTATTAATTACTTGGTTTATGTGAAACGCAATACCTCAATAAACATTTTGATTCATTGATATGTAAACTAATATATGGTTTAATACATTATATATTATATAGGCCTATATAATTATGAAATAAAATTAAAATAACACTTTAATTACAATTAAAATTTATAAAAATAGGATGCTGTATTCAAAATACACACACACATATATATTTTTCTAAATATTGTTTTACTAAATGCATAACTATAGCATTATCGATTTTCCGCTCAACTTATTATATTTCTGGTTTATTCGAAACTATATTTAATTACGATCATTAAAATTTGTATAATTAAGCCTTTATAGCAAGCGGTATTAAAATTAAGATTTCAAAAGTAATAGAAAATTAAAATTGGGAAATTTAATTACAATTAAGTCAGAAAGTCGTTTATAATCTTTTTCAGTTTGATAAAAGTAATCGATTTCCATCAGTTTAATTGTAATTAATCGATTTCCACCAGTTTAATTGCAATTAATCGATTTCCACCAGTTTAATTGCAATTAATCGAAAATATTTGTTCATTTCATTCATTGTTGTAACTGATAGAATTTAACTACAATTAAGTATTCGCATTAAAAAAAATTAAATATAATCAATTATGATGAAGTTTAATTATAATTACGTATTGATTATAATTAAATGTTAAATTTTTTTATTAATTTTTTTTTTAAATTAAATGTTTTAAATAATGTTTTTGAAATAAAATGCAGTTATTTTTTTTATATTTATGTCGAGACATTCGAATGTCAACCTATATATAACATTTCAAGAAATATCAAATTTCACTTAAAGTATTTTATTATTTTGATGTATATCAAAATATATACAAGAAAAAAAAATTTAAATTTCTCGAAAAACTTTATTTATTTATTTTTTATTGTATTTTTTCCGTTATTTTATTTTATTTTTCCACAAAAAAATATTTAGGCCTATATTAAAAATTTATTTAAAGTTTATATGTATTTAAAAGGTATTTTAAATAAATAAATAAATAAATTAAATATTAAAACGATTTAATTACATGTTTTAAACTTAATTAAATACTTTTTAATGGATTTTATACTAAATAATTTTTTAAAATTATTCTTTTAAGGTATAAAAGTTTATATATTAAATTACTTAATTAATTATAAATGATAATTGATTTAAATATTTTATTATTTTTTATTTCACTTAATAAATTTAATTAGAAAATAATGAATAAAAANATATTAATTGGATTTAATTCGATAATATGGAGTATAATATACAGCAAAGGAATGTTTTATTAAAATAAAAATAGGCTAAATCATTCCATTTTAAGAATGTACCCATGCCAAATTTGGATAAAGTTTCGTAAGGAGGGGTCCATTGATAGATCTCTATCCTGTTGAAGGACACCAAGAGATTAATAGAAGATTGACAAATCAAAAGCCTTGGATTCTAAAGAGTTGCTGCCTGGGGATAGATAACGTCCCACGCTTAAATTTGTACTATAACCCATTATTTCTGTTATATATGTTTTTAATTTAGGCATTAATCATATGATATAAAATAATACATATTCTGTAGCACCATTTGTGACTTAGTTTCATTATAAAATCATTTCGGTTACATGGAAGTAGATCATTGAAAGAAGATATACAGTATATTTTTTTGAATTTTTGCTTTGTTTTACTATTATATATGGTAGCAGGTAGTTCAACTTTTGTCCTTGTCCTGATTTTATAATACCCAACAACTCTAATTGAATTTGTAACTTCAATTTTGGTCAATGTATAATCTTAATGCTTACTGAAGGTGCATCTCTCTATAACCACGAAAGATTAAGATCTGGTGCCTTCATAGTTTATCATAGATGTTTACGTTGAAGGTATAACCCCTATCCTTTATTGCTACAGATCAGCTCGAATTAAGCGAAATTGTGATTACTCCCTCCGAAATTCTTATCCATGTTTGATGATCTCGTGGTTGTTCGGTGCCTTGTGAAAAACTCCAATCCAATTCCTGCTTACAAATCTAGTTTAAAAGGAGTTTATCTTACTTTTGAGTTTTCAGTCATCCCTTGCGTATGTTTATCATCATCAAAGATAATAAGAGTCGAAGATATAGATCAATAGATGTAAAGACTATCTTGTAACTATAGATTCATGTTTCTAAACGTTGTTTATTCATTTGCTTTCCTTGCTGATATTTAAGAATTGTTTCCAATAATAAATACTTATTTTTAAAACTTATCTTAAGCAGATATTTTAAAGGATTTTAAAAATCTGTGTTCAAGTTTAAATAACTACATACAAAACTTGATCATGTAACTATAAATACTCAGACCTGGAGTGGTAACCTCCATAAAAAACAGTGAAGTAAATACTTAGTCCCGCCATCTGTCGACGTAATCTGTAACTATTTTAAAGATAAATATATGAAATCTTGTACTGTATATATATATGAACTGATTTATGTGTAAAAATTAACGTTTTAATTTATTATATGATTAATATAAATATTTCAAATAAATATTTAGATAAATACATTAGAATTCAGATTGTCTAGATGCTGTAATTTAAATTCTACCCACACTATTTAGTTAATTAAAATGTAAAATTATATTAAATATTTTACATATATGTATTAGACAATACTGATTTTTATTTATTTATTTTAATAGCGGAGGCGGTTGTTTCTCTCCACGACAAGTTGGAAGGGAGCATGTTCCCTACCACAAACCCTCAACAGACACCGTCAAGCCAGAGAATCAGCTATAGAGGTTCCTTCACCACTACTTCAACTCCTGTTTCGACAGCAACACCAGGTGCACCAACTAGTACAACAGGTTGGCCGACAACTGACAAACCGTTATCCTTTGCGCCAATCTTGAATTTTTTAGGACAAGCTACTAGCTCACCATCAACAACCACGGCGCCCGTTATCGGCACTCCACCCCAGCACAGGCCTTCTCCGGTACCATCCACGTCACAATATCCGGAAGCGTCACCTAGTCCTGGATCTTTTGAGGCCGCTGTGGGTGGCAGAGATCCATCTCAAGAAACTTATACGCATCTTACTGGTAGTCCGCAGCATAGCGGGCAAGCGGAACTTCTTCTACAGTACAGTGGACCATCACCTTTTGATACGAGCTACACACTCAAACAGCCACCTATTTACAGCAGCTCAACAACACAGATTCCGTCTCCTGATACAGCAGCAGCTTTAGTCGCAGCGGCTGGAGGACTTACGACCCAGACTCTTATGTGTCCTTCCACGGAGGAATTAGGCTTCTCTAGACCAACTCAACCATCTCTCACCAAGTACCAATGGCCAAGTTTTTCTCCGAGTACCGGCCTTCAGGAATATGGAACTCTAAGCACCATGCAACTGGGACCTAGTCCTCCTGCACCGACAAGTGGCTCTCCTATAGCGTCTAGTGTTCCTAAACAGGAGCCGGCGGCAGAAGGAGGAGTATTTTTACTTCAAGGTGCTGCTTCATTAGCAGAATACAATCAATCAACTAGCAAAGGACACGAAATTTTAAATCAGGCATATCAGAACAGTCCAGTTCCTCTGAAATTAATGCCTGTGAAACCAAGAAAATATCCAAATAGGCCTAGTAAAACACCGGTACACGAACGTCCTTATGCGTGCCCTATATCTCCTTGTGACAGAAGGTTTTCGAGGAGCGACGAACTAACACGTCATATAAGAATCCACACTGGACAAAAACCGTTTCAGTGCAGGATTTGTATGAGATCATTTAGCAGAAGTGACCATTTAACAACTCATATAAGGACTCATACGGGGGAAAAACCGTTTTCGTGCGATCTTTGCGGGAGGAAGTTTGCAAGAAGCGACGAAAAGAAGCGACATGCCAAAGTTCACCTCAAACAAAAGATGAAGAAGGAAGGTCGCATGGCATCGGCGGCGGCTGGATCGTCAACGCAGCAGGCATTATCAGGTAGTATGGGTCCAGGACCCAGTGGTATGGGATTAGAGGGACCCAGTACTAGTCTAGCACCCAGTACACTGGCAACCCCTCAAACACTCCCGATGACCGTCACAACAACATCTTTACAGTGAACGAATCACATTCCTCACTGTGTACCCAAGATCATCCTGATTCCCATTTAAGAATGCCTACAATAAGCCACCGAGTGTGTTCTTCCATCAAATTTACTCAAATCCTGGGATGTTGCAATCATTTACGATGAGTGCAATGTCATATCATTTTTTAAGTCTTTCAATGCAGAGTTTTCCACATTTCAAACTGTTTCTGGTGCTGAGTAGATTGAAGATGTAAGAATGATTAAAAAAAAAAAAATTGTGTGAATATTCGCGGGAATCAAGTCGCTCTCACATTCTCCCATTCACTGCCTTGAAGACTCAGTGTCAACTTTATTTATACTAACTCCAACATTACTCAAAAGTAAAATACCTCAACTTTAGTTGACACCATGCAAGGTACAGATAAAAAATTTTAGTTAAAACAATTTCATCCGTTAATAGCTCAACATTGACTAATTATATTTTGAATTTTAAAGATGCTACCATCCATTCTTTCTAAATATTCCTACTACATATGCCTTCCTATATACAGATATATATATGTATAAATATAATTAATATTTAAGATTGGTGTACACATGTAAAATTATTCAATCCCACCGATCTTTGTGATAGAAATATTTTGAATGGGGGTTTAAAAAAACTACCAAAATCAAAAGATAAGGCTAATTAAAATATCTGACAATCGTATTTTTTTAAAAGAAAAATTCCTATAACTTTTTGAAATATCTTGGAGTAGTGCCTGATAATTTTTAAAATATCTTTTTATTATAATGCACAGAAAAAAATATCCTAATCTCTTTTAGTATATTTCATACTTTTCATATTTTTCTTACACATACATAACTCGAATTTCATTTTTTTTTATTCTGGTAAATGAAATAATTAATAAAAAAAAACAATACATTTCATAATTGCAATTTTCAGTTGTACTAAGATGTTAATGGTCTAAATTCATAATTATTAATTTATTTTGTAAAATAGAAAATAATATAATTAGAAAAAATATATAACAATCTAATCAATCAAACCTGAAAATTCTTAAAACAATTTTTGTTTTTAATATTTAAATTTTAAATACAATTATGAAAATTTCATTTTAATTTGGGAAAGAACAGTCACAAATTTTATTAAACAAATTTTAAATTATTATTTTAAAAAAAATTCTAATTATTAACATTTGATATTTACTTTAAACCCGTATATTTGTTATAATTATAAAAATATAATTGTAAAATATAAGGATAAAAGAACCCTCGTTAT